CAGCATCTTTTTGTATCCCAAGGCTTTGGCCAGCATCTTTGTTAGTAGAGTGGAGGGTGGCTTTGGGTTAGGTGCGAGTGAGGAAAAATCTCCACATTTGATCAGAGGGGAACGTGTGTGGGGGTTAGAGCCATACTGCTCACAATGGTGGACAGAATCACAGAAAAAACGATTTCTGCATACTCCAGAGCAAGCCCTTTGGAGAGCGTTTTGCACACATTGGGTTTTTTGTTTTGGCCCTCTGCGACATTAGCTTGATATACTATTGTCCCCATTTAACAGGCAGCATGATATATGGTAAATTCAGTGCTCGCTGTCACTTTAGAAACATTAGAATACACGGCACATCTCAGGATCGAGGACATGTCGCTGGCTTGCGGGCTGGCAGTTCTCTGGACCACAGATGCTGCTTTGTCACAGGGCTCTTGAGAACCAGCTGAAATCCACGGGTCCGACAGCTTGCCCGTGGTTATTTCTGCTCTCTGGGCATTGGTCTAAGAACTTGGTGTGATTTCAGTCATCAGAAAAGATCGGTCCTGGGCCTGGTTGTCAGGTGAGGAGACCGAGTTTCAGAGTAATACCTTGACTCGTGCAGGGCCACCTCGCAGTCCATTCCGAAGCCCTGGTGCCAACCAAGGCTCCAGAGCAAGGCTCTTGGCCGCAATGTCCTTCTGCCTCTGGGCTGAGGACAGCAGCATGGGCGAAGGAGGGAATCACGGGGCTCCATGTGGGTTAGAGGCTCTGGCCCCCCTCAGGGGCTGTCGCCCAGATGGCTTGTCACTGCCTTTTGGCATCAACCTTAGTGTCAGTTCCTAAGTCTCTTGTCACCTTCTGTTGCTTTGTTGTCAGACCACCCTTGTTGTGAAGGACACAGAGACCATAAAACAGACCTCAGGCTGGGCAAGGCGCATCTCAGCGACCCTACTGCAGCCCTGGGAGTTTTGTGCGGTATAGAGTCTCCGTGTAACCAGGGGTGAGCTAGAGACTAGACAGGGTGAGTCAGTCACACAGGCTTGGTCACAGGGCAGGCAGGCAGAGGGTTGGGAGCACATGTTTGTTTTACACACACACACACACACACACACACACACACACACACACACACACACACACACACATGCACGCATGCACGCATGCACGCATGTGTGCATGTACACACATACATGTACATACACATGCATGTGTGCATGTACATGCACACACACACACACACACACACACACACACACACACACACACACACACACAGAACTTCCCTTTCCCACCTAGGCATTCGGGACCGCTTGTCTGTGATGTTCCGCTATCTCCAGTGTATTTTTCCTCTCCTGGTTTTCTGTCCCACACTCTCGCAGCAGCCTGGGGGATTTTCAGAGCCGGAGATGTTTCTTTTTTTCCTCAGGCCCGGAACTGTTTTTCTATTGCTTGTACATCTGAACACCTGCTGGGCTGATGAGCTTTGCAAATGTCACTTGATTATTGGGAGGGAGCTGTGAGTGATGCGCAGGAACACACCGCCCCAGCTGCCTCGCAGGGTTGGTGGGGGGTGGGGGGTGGGGGAGGGTCCTCCAGCCCCAGCCCCCTCAGTGAGGGATGCGGTTCTGCTCCCTCCCGGGGGCTGACATAGGTGTGTGCTCTCTGCCGTCCGCCTTTCTTCCATTCCTCCCTGAGGAGACAGCGGCCGCGTCTGTGCTGGTCGGCTCCTGCAGCGGTACCTCAGCTTTCGAGGCTCCAATGACAAATGTGACCTTTTCCTTTTTGGATTTGTCTTCTCAGAAAAAAACCACATGTGTATGCAAAATTTGGGTAGACTTTCAAGATACCCGTAAATTTAGAGCCTCCTCGGACACCTGCCGCTTCTGTCCAAATCTCATGTGCCCCATGAAATGTGCCTTAGAAATAGGGCTCTTTCTTTTTCTTTTTTCTTCCTTTTTTTCCCTCCCTCCCTCCCTCCCTCCCTCCC